TATTGAATTTAATCAAGTAGTTATTGAAGAACCTTCGCTAGAAGGTTTAAAAAATCTTTAGTTTTAACTAGGTATATCCCGTGATTATCCGATGATCATCGATGATCGGGAAATTTCGTAAGGTGCCAGGCTTTAAACGACCCCAATTACAGTCTAAATTCTCGTGATCTAGTGATCGAATCTGCAGATCCGATCACTGGATCACGAGAATTTTTGTCGTAAAAAATTGTACAAGGATGCTTATTGTCAGAAGAATATGATATATAATTTCGTTTTCTTGCTCCTCTCTTTTGTGAGAATTTCTAAACTAAATTTTGTCATAATAGATTCGCTACTTTAAAAATGGTATGTTCATTTTATATGTTTCATTTTCCCCTCCCGAGAGTCCTAGAAAGTGAAGAATCAACTGCAAGCGACCTTATGCAAACGTGTATTGTTTTTGTTGTACCAAAAGTACAAATTTAGACACGCGCGCCTTACATCCAATTAAATTTCGAAATCAGTCGATACAACGCGAAAAAATACGATTACTTCCCCTGCGCATTATTTCGAGACGCCCATATGCGTTATTTCGAAATAAATTTTGAACCTGATGTACATATCGAATCCATTAATACATGACATTCTCTAGAACCGATAATCCGTACTCCGTAGTGTTAAATTCGAAATTCATGAATTATGGTTTTTCGCTCGGCGGCGTTCATATAAAATCGATTAAATCAATATACCGTAAATTCTCGAAACAGCGGGCGCCTGCGTGCTATTTCGAGTACGCCCATGGGTTTTATTTCGAATATATAGGCTGATTTTCTGAATAGGGATGTTAGGTAGCACGGAAAAAATTTAGGAATACTTCTGGCTAAGGCATGCCCTTCTCTCCAAGAACACCTCCAAAAATTCTCTGTTAGTGTTCCTAGGTAAAAATTTTATCAATCGATTACTTGCCAACTATAATCGATTTTTCATATCAGGTGACTAAATTTGCCGATTAGCCAATCAAACTAAAGAAATCAATTTCTAAATTGAAAGTGTCGGTATCAACTAAGTTAATTTCTAAACGATTCGGATCACGATTTTCAAAAATTTACAGTAAAACAATCTACTTTTTTAAATTGAAAAGATTAATTGAATTCTTTTAACTAATTAATCGATTTAACCGATTTTAAAATCAATTCCGAATCTAGGAGGCGTCAAAATATTTTAAATTTATATAGTTCTTTTACAAACGTCCCTTTTTTATTATTAAGTTCACATAATACGTAGCATTAAGTTTTATATAATTTACTAAAAACTACTGTATACGTTTATCTGTTATTCTGATTCTCTCATTTCGTCAGATGTATCTTCCGATTTCGCTTTTTGTTGCTTAGCATACGCCAACTGCTCTTGCATCATTTGATATACATACTTCCCAATATGTTCTACGTCAGATACTTCATATGAGTCACCATTGTCCTCGACCTATGATTGATTAAAAAGTTAGATTTAATCGCTGTACTATTATCGTTTATTTATAAGTTGCATCTTTAAAAGAAAAAGATTTTTATATACATTTCTCTTTGAAGGCCACATCTCGTTAATCTTCAGACTCAACTTAGTAGGGCGTTTTAACAATTCATCGAATGTCGGTGTCAATTCATAACAGTTTTTAAATAAAGCAAGACGACAGAAAACATATAATCCCAATCGAGCACGAGACATTGCAACAATAAGACGTCTTACGTCTCGAATATGTCCAACAGACTTTGTTCGTACCAAAGATAAAAGAATATCTAAACGAGAAGAAATTTACATTTTAATAAAAAAAAATATATAATGAAAATTGCAAAAATTAAGAGGATGCTTACAGTCGTTCTGCTGTCCTTGAAATTTATCAACAGTGGTCACTTTGGCTGGACGGCCAAACAAAGGATTCCAAGAACACCGTTGCTTTAATACGTCTCTTATTAAAGCTTTTTGTCCATTATACGTAGTCAAAATGGAAATTTTATCCGATGGGTACCTTTATGAATGTTACTTGTTAAGTCAGGATAAATGAAAAACGTGTATAAAACGAACAGAAATGCACATATATCAATACCCTAATAATCGCATATATTGATACACCGCAACAATGAATTCCGCTTCTCCGAGATTCTAACAAAGGTATATGAGCTAAATAAAAATTAAAACGATCATGATAATACAATTCAAGAATAAATACCTGATAGAAATATGGGACGGGCTCGGTCTCACCTTTGCCCATATAATTGTCGACATTTATTACTTGATAATCGTAGGTAAATCTTTGCGAATAAACGTGAACAATATCAATTTGTGACATACAGATTCAGGATAAGAAATTGATAAAGATATCATACCCAGAATTTGCATATTTGTATTCCTCTTGTTCAGTAACAGACGGTAGATCTCCCAAATTTTTATATCTCCAATTGTACAATTTCGCAATTGACGGTCTCGAACGACCCTGAATTTATTCGTACGTAATGATTTAGATTTGAAGGGGGAATTTCTGAATCATTAAAAATCATACCTGCGCATCTAAATCAACAGTAGGAACTCCGAGCCTGACAAATCGAGTAAATAAACTCTGCTCCATATTGCCGTATTGCTGGAATGCCATATTTTTAACAACAGGAGGTAATTGATTATGATCTCCAATCATCACTACTCTTTTTAATCTACTTCGGCCATCTTCAGTTTCTTGCAAAAGTAAAGGGATAAAAGTCTCCACTTCTAATATTTGAGCTGCTTCTTCCATCACGACATTATCATATTTGAATGCCAATAAAGATAGCTCGCGTCGCTATAATGTCATAAACATTAACTTGCATTAAAATTTTTTCTTTGGGTATATACCACCTTCCAAAATGTTTTCGACCATCTTGATTCATAGAACTAAAGAATCAATTAAACAGTCGAAATTCTTTGAGGATAAAATATTATTTACTTGCCTTGAGTGCTGCATGCGTACAAGTCATTGCAATGATTTTAGCTTCTTTAGTTAACAAATAATTAGCTCTATCGTAACTTGTTCGCAATAACTCGAATCCACGAATTTCTTCAAGCTCTGTAAAAATCTTTTCGATATGTCGAAAGCATCCCTCAGCAATCTCTAGTGTTTCAGCATAATTAGCATCTTCTGGAAAGAGTGGTTGTGGAGCATTACAAAAGTAATTACTAAAAGGAAATTCGTTTCTTATTGTCTCTACACTGATATTGCCATTCTCTAATCCTTGTCTACATTTATCTATATAAGGTTCCCATCTTGATAAAACGTGATACAAATAAAAGTATCCGGCAGTTTCACATGTGTATCCATGCTCACCACCAATTTCTAATGACTGAGAAAGACGATCTACTTCAGAAAGCAGCGCGAGTCGTTTCTCCTGTAATTAATAAAAAAGCAATAATATAAATAATTTGAGCTCTGCACATGTAATAATATTAATAATGATAAGAAAGGTGAACTCACCAAAAATGAGTTAACACGACCATATTTACTAAAACTTAGTTCAGTATTTAATTCTTCTTCACCATGACCTAAGCGAAGTAGATGACGCTCGTCCACATCTGAATGT